CAATTGTTTTTGTTCCTTTTCAACGGGTTGGGCAAATACACAAACACTTACAAAAACTTAGCATGCTTCAGAGAGCTTCACTTTCTCTACAAAATTAAGATCATATTGGCACACACTCAAATATCACAACAAGCTTCAGTCAATATAATTAATGAACTCAAGCACGCTTAAACAAAACTAAATTTATCTTCCCTTAAATCTGACCTCATTCTCAATGGTCTTTATAATTGTTTGAAATTATGAATGGGGTTTTGCTTGCATAGTTGTGAGAACTGGAACCAGCAATGCACCTTGGTTCAATCACTGGAATCGTCTGTGACAGAGCATATGCCCTAAAATGAGAAAAAGTGAATTGAATGTAGCGCCAATCTCAGGAAGAAATGAAGCAAAGGTATCGAGCGATTTTTGCCTCCATTCTTATTTTTTAGTTCTTCCGTGTTATTCGTTTCCAGGAAGCCGAAGTTCTCCCTAAACTGCATAGATGAGTAGTAGAGCTCATCCAGATAAATGACGGACTTCAAGTTTGTTGTTTGCGTTGTTGCTGGGAAGAGACTTCAAACTTCAGATAGAAATATTTGCTCCCGTTTCAGTAACATCATATCACAACCCTACCACACATTATAAGATAGCGTTGGGAGATGAATTTAGGTTGAGGGTATCCTGCGGCGCTCGCGAATAGATAGGCGCTGAGGATAACGGGAGAAGATGACGATAATGGAAGGGTATGAGTTAATCGTACAAACAAGAAATAATAATGTACAAACACTTATTGCAATTTATTATATAAATTGCAATAAGTATCCTAAATCTTAAACAACGAGTTATTCTATTGATTATTTGTTTAAGTTATGTAATTATTTTAGATGTTCCTTCTTTTAAATTTTCAATTAAGTATTAAAAGCTAAGGGGGGCGAATCTAATTAAATTATGAAAGTTTTATGAAAATATTACATATATGATAGAAAATTTTGAAAGTCCAAGGGGGGCGGTCGCCCCCCGCGCCCTCCCCTAAATCCATCCCTGATGATATTAACGATGGGAAGCATACATAGCGCATTATTACATAATAATGAGGTTCAGTCATTGTTTCGTTGAATCGTTGTTATAAAGAGTGACGCAAAGGACAAACTTGTCCAATTACGAGAGAAAAGGGGTGCGCCTAGTACGTCTTGTGGTGCGCAGAGCACGAGCTACATCTACAAAAATGCAACAAACGCTTACCTTGAGCTACATCTACAAAAATGCAACGAACGCTTACCTTGAGCTACATCTACAAAAAGTTTTAGCTAACATTTGGTATGAGTAAACTACACTTGATGAATAAGATGCTCAAAAAATTTCATCAAAAAATTCCACCGGGAACCGCCCCAAATCGTGACGGCTGGACAGAGCGTCCTATATAAGGACTTATTTGATCTTTTTATGAAAGTTCGAGGACCTATTTAACAGTTTTCCCAAAATAAAATGTAGCTTTATTTGAATCATTGACTTGAACATTTACAAATTATAATTGAGAATAGTTACATTACATTTCCTATTCGTTGGAACTCCCGCTTCTGGCGTCGGTTGTCGTTTCCTCCATGTACTGTCATTGCATTATGAACCCTTACATAAGGCACATAGAAAACACTTTTTATGTGCCTAGTATTAGATGAACCAATATCATATCAAAGGAAAATATTTGGTTAGACAAGAGTAATTGGATAGTGTAATCAATAATTGCCTAGTATTAGATGAACCAATATCATATCAAAGGAAAATATTACATAATACTACGTACAATACTTCTTTGAACTTTGAAGCAACCAATTTATATACGATAGTATAAAGATGCTGGTCTCTGAGAATCACTTATCTGAATACTAAAACTTCGTACTGAAATAATTATACACATTTTCAGAATTATCACAATTAACAAATGCATGATTTGTAGTGCGTGTTCTCTTGCTTACAACAGTAACATGTAGAAGTGACTCGCAGGGATATTCTTTCATTGAGCACTTAGCGAATAAGAATCCGTTTAGCCAAAGTCTCTTAACAAAACGTGTTATTGGAGGGTGTTGTGAACAAATAGTTTTGAAAGATGTCGACTTTTATTTCAATTGTTTAAGATTCTCACACATGAAGTGAGAAAGAAATTGTAACATTTATGTTCAATCTAAAAAGGGTTATCTTTACCCTTTATGATGGGATTTTTTTATTTTGTAGTATCAACAAGGTTCTTAGTGATGGTATCTCTATTTGTGAATATTCCACTTATGAGTCCTCCTAGCAGATGAAGTCAAATTTTCAAGGGGATTACCTGGGACCAAATTATCAGACTAAAATTATTGTTTTACTTGCAGTTTCGAAATACTTTTAAAAGGTAAAACAAGCTTCTATTTCTTCACTTTAAGAAAATGAAGAGAATTCTAAGAAAAGCACATCCAATCGAGCCCTACAGCTCCAAGACAATGTGCAATGTTTCTTTCAGAGCTCCGTCTACATGCTTCAGTTCCCGCACTTAATCACACTGTGCACCATTCATTCTTAGTCTCTTACACTACATCATACTTCGTATAATTCATTACACCATCACCTTAAAATGGTAACTCCACCTTTTCCCAATTTCATTTTCGACTCAATCAACAGTGCACCAAAACACAAAAAATATTTAAAAAGAGCACAGACAGAGGGGCAATGAAAGCAAAGAGAGAGGTTTCTCATAGCGCAGAGGTGGTAGGAAGGGCGGAAGTTTATCCAAAGTCGCACGAAACCAAATTTATTGTTGCTGAAGGCATGCAATATGAGCATATGCAGCTCTATGCAATCTCCATGCGGCTGTTAGAAGAATTCAAGGCACTATCAGCATCACATAATTGATAATTGGCAAAAAACAATACAACGAAGATAATCAGGGATGAACATGTTTCAAATTTTCAGAAGGTCTGAACCATAGAAACTATCAGGGAGGGGAGGGAGTTAAACCCTAGTTTGATTTTAGAATGATATATTAAAAGGTTCTGTACCTGGCCCGGAACACGGGCTTAGACAATTTGTAGTGATAGGGAAATGATGGGAGAAGCTCCATGAGCAATAGCTGATGAACCACCTATGTGATATAGTTAGGAGCCGACCAAGAAAATTGGATGTGTATTCAATCTTACCATAAGAGAAGCAGATGGAACGGAGGTGAGCGACGGAAACAAAACGGAATAAAAAGTTCTTTAAACAGAGTACACATTATAAACTACATGATTACACCAACATTTTTTCATCCCTAAAATACCCTAACTCTCATTGGCTATTTTAAGATTTTAGAAATGCCAAACTCGGTGGTCCTATGGCTGCCATTTTTTCAATCATAAATCATGTTTGAACTTTTCTGATCTGAATGTTTTTTATGAGACCTGAATGTTTCTGATCTAATCTGATATGAATCTTTCTGATTGATCTGAATTCTTCTTATCTGATCTGAATTTTTTTGATCGGATCTGATCTGAATTGTTATGATCGGATCTGATCTGATCTCAATACAATCCCAATAATGTTAAAAATGTCATATATTAGTAAAAATGAGCAAATTTGCATATAAATGTGAGTATTATCGGTGAATCTCATCATCACTATTGGAAATCATAAAAAATAGTATAGGATGTTAGATAAAATGAAACATATTATAAAAGAAATGTCACCATGAAAAACTAATACCATAATGGTAAAAGAAATGAATTAATGTAAAAAAATGTCAATATATTTGCAATACTAAAATAATCTCAGAGTTGCTAAAGAAATACAAATTTCATTGTTATCATTATATTGAAAATAAGCTTGCTAACCATTGAAAGGAAAAAAAAAATCTCTCTTTAATATATAGTTCTTTTAAATATAAGATAATCGGCTAAAAATCGAGTAGAAGATTTTTATCCCTCATATGTAGTGCTTTTAGGTATAAGGTAAATTGACTGACAAATGAACCGGAGAACTTTCTCTTTCATATGTAAGGGTTTTAGGTATAAGAATGTAAGCTTGCTAATAATTGAGCGAAAGAGTTTTCTCTCTCAAATTTGGCGTTTTTAGAAATTACAAGATAAGCCTGCTAACAATTGAGCGAGGAATTGACCGAGGAGATAATTTTCCCTCTCATATGTAGTGCTTTTAGGTATCAGAAGATAAACTTGCTAACAATAGAGCGAGATAACTTTCTCTCTCACATGTAGTGTTTTTAGCTATAAAGTAAGATGGCTAACTATTGCGCGGGAGAACTTTTTAGAATAGTATTTAATATTAAAATTAATCATTAAAATTAGTAAGTAATAAATTCAAATTAGTAGTGTCAATTAATTTTTCCTAATATACTTTTCGTTGAATATTTATTATACGGGCTTATACTTTTGGTGTTAGCTTATTGTACTACAAACTTATTTTTATTTAACATTTAATTAGATCATGAGTGAAAGTATATGCACCAACTGCTATTTCCCGTGCGCATGCACGGGTACTGTACAAGTATAATAATAGTTTTTAACTACATTCAAACGAGGAAAGGACGAATTTACGGGAATTCCATGCATCCATTCTCAAAATACGAATGTCAGAGTTAGGGTATGTATTTACGGGAAACGGGGTTGGGGAATCCGAGTTTTGTAGGGTTTTTTTTGTAGGTTTTTGTGGGGTTTTCCAATTTCGACAGAGGTGCCGGGTGATAAATGTCAGAAGCAAAAGTCGGATTCTATGAATCCGACACCGTGATTTAATAAGCAATATGTAAAATGTCGGATTCCTTGAATCCAAAAAAAGCAGAAGTCGGATTTGTGTCAGCCGCATGCATGTCAGATTCATGCTTTTAAAATACGATATTTAAAGCTTGAATTACATTAAAGCTCCATAATCATTTATAAACGGGAGATTTTCATAATCTAAAAGCGCACCACAATATCGGATCAATAATGCTCTTTGTACCCACATTATTACCCACCCTATACCCACTATTTAAACCCCAAAAAATAATTACACCCTTTCACCCCTTTACCCCCTTCCCTCATCTCTCCTCTATCCCCACCTTTTCTATACGCCCTTTCTCTCCTGTCTCCCCCCTCCCATCTTCTACGACGTTCTTCTCCCTCCCCTCTTCCCCATTTTTCTCCTCCAAACCCAAGCTCAAACTATGCAGACGGAAGAGTGAAGACTGTTGATCTAATTCATTTTTTTACAACGAGCAGCAAGGTTTTCAATGTAAAATTCAACCTATATTTTTATCTACCTTGTTCATTGTGTTATAGGATTATATTTGTTTTTTTCAATTTTATGTATGTAATACGGAGTATATGCTAATGTTGAATACTTGATTACCTTGGTATATTGTTATAGATTTGTGATGCTTATTATTGAGGTTTTAATTCAAACTATTCTTTTTCACTTTATGTCCAAAAGATGTTTGTAGAAATGACCCAGTGAATTTTCCATTCATATCCGCAATTTGTGAGTTCATTTTCCTTTTTTGCTAATTTCTTGGACTATTTTATTTTATTATTATGAATTTTATTTAGCTTTTTAATTCTATTTGTATGCTTAATTTATGTTTGTGAAGTTGTTTATTTACCTACTTGTTTTCATTTTGAATTGGTCAAGTTGATTACTGAGTTTATAGTTTAAGCATCCTATTCTATTTTCTTGCACATTAAGTGTTTGTGGAAAGGTTGCAATGAATATTTGTTGAATATTAGAAACATGAATATAAAATAATGAGACAATCATGGATAACTTTCTTTTATTTTTTTTTGTGGTATAATGTGTTTTTATATTTAATTGATGATATTAAATTTCTTTTTTTCCAGTTTAGATTATTGTGTTCTGACCATGTTAGTATTTCGCTTAGTTTTGTTTTCCCTTATTCGAATGGACTGAAATGTTAACTAATAACTCTTCTTCTTGTGATGGTTCAAAGTTAACTCTTTTTTCTTGAGTTTTTTACAAATTGATTAAATGTAGAATGAGATGATGTGAATTGGAAAATATATCTCTTGCAAGGGTATTGGACAAATACAACCCCTGTAATTTTATTTTATTTTATTGAAATTGTATGTTTTATTGATATTATATGGCATATTGTTGAACTATTTTGCTTCATTGTTGGAACATATGGTGTTCATCATAACACTTAATGTTCTAGAGGTCATTCTCTTTTCTTGTCCACAATGTGTTTGATAAAATGTTGCAATAAAATGTTGTTATATTTATTATGCTTAAATGTTTGGTTGTCCTTGTTAATTGCACTGCTAGTTATTTGTTTTTGCTTACATAGTACTCCTAGAGATCATTATATTAGTTCTTTGCTAGGATGCTTGCTATATATAATGTGTTTGATTGTTTTATTTATTACGACTCACATAATCATGTTCACATACTCTTTTTTTTTTTTAGTTTTTCAAGTTCACATACTCTATACACATCACAATTCACAGGAGTTAAATGCAAACAAAGAAACTGAACCTCCAACGGGAAAATTATCTGAAAGAGGTAGGGTGATGACATGTTCAATTTGTAAACAAAAGGGTCATAACAAGACAATTTGTCCAACTCTTGGTCAATCTGTTAGGGCTGGAGGACATGGCAAAGGTGGAAGAGGTGGAAGGGGTGACCGAGGTGGAAGAGGTACAACAAGCATCAGCTATACAACAAGAGATGAAGAATTAGTAGAATAAATTAATTAAGTAGCCTACTAGCTGTTAAAAATAATTATGTACTATGTGTAAGAAGAACAAGATGGATACTTTGACATGCTTGTAGTTCTTTATCTTGGAAGGGATGTTTTGCTTTTTTTGGAAGAAATGTTTTGTCATTTTGGAATGGCTGTTTTGTTATTTTCTGCTCATTAGTTAAGAGCTGAATATTTTTATGTAAAAAGGCTCATTAATTTATTATTTCGGATGGTTTGAGCTCATTTTTTGTATTTTAACTGATCTGGTTTTTTATAATAGTTATTTCTAAAAGAATAGTAGGTCACAATGGATGAATGAGGGTGAGTGTTGACTGCTAGGTGAGCATGAAAGTACTAACTGTTTTGTAACAGATTTGAAACTCATCATGTGAACTGCATTTTGTTTTTAGACCATTTTCGATCCTGCATCTTTTATTTAAAAACAAGACAAATGTGTATTCCATTTTTTCACAATGATGAGTGGTTTCATTCCTCTTAGCAATCAATATGTCCATTTCAGAAAGTCTTATAACAATTTCATTCACAATAATAGCCACAACAAAAATCAGAAACAAAAACCAAATGCCAAAAAACAACATAGAACCATAAAGCTTGATTCTGTACCTCAATTTCATTGACCAAACAGTACATGAACTTCATAGTACAACAATAACTAATACTAGTATACAATAACAGTTGCATCTATCAATTACTCTACCTATTACATTTTTTAACCATGTCAATAACAATTAAATCAATACAAATACATAACTCATTCTCTTGCCAAATAGCTTGTATTTTACTTCAATTGAACAATCACTTTAATGGTTTCCAATTCACTTTCCATAGCATAAATTAGGGTCTTTAGTTCCTCAATTGAAAATACTTTACATCCTGAACAACCACATCCCCCTTTTATCTCCTTCTCTTGTTACTTCACCCCAGTATTTCCCTTCAAAGCAAAAAATTCACATCCCACCCCCTCCTACAATCAGTATCAAAATCGTGTTGTTACTTTCTCATGGTTGTAACTTTTGGTACAAACTTCCTTAGAGACATATTTGCCTAGTAAGAGCTCCCAAGCATGCCATGTTGTTAAACACCTGCTAAAAGCATTTAAATTCATGCTTCTTAAGCACCTGCTAAAAGGAATTAAATTCAATGACAAACATTAAGAAACATTCTTGACTTTAATCATTTCACACACAAAAATTGCATCAACATTATTACATATAAATGAACACACAGACAAATATTATCTACGCACAAACATAATAAATGAACACATAGACAATATTTTAACCAAGCACAAACAATATAAATAAGCACACAGTGAGAAGTTGTAACCTTCTCCTTTCCCATATTCTCCCATTTTACCTCAAATAAATTCTGAACCATAAATATACATTACAGTTTACAAACTAATCCAAAAAATAAGTTCATCTTAGAAATTTACATGAATAAAATATGCAATTTGATGATGACAAACAACATATATAAAACAACTACAACTGTAATAACAACTTCAAAAAACATTCATTAAAATTTCAATGAAACGTTTAAACAAACATGTCATGTGCATAGTAAAAAAAGTAGAATAGTTTAACTGAAATTTCAAGATTTAGCATCACCAATCCATAAGTCTGAAACAAAATAATCATACATTCAAAGTTATACTAAAATATTTGCTTCCAGCATAACAAGATACATAAAAATCTGAAAAAGAAAAAAGTATAAACGTAAAAGCCAAAACAAACTAAAGTAAATTATTACCTCAACATTCAAAGTTTTAGAGCTGAAACGATTGTATTATGTGTGAGAGAAAGACACTCTCATGATTTTCCTGAGTTGATCGTTGTTGGTGAAGTGAAAGATTTTGTAGAAGAAGAAAAAATAAAGAAGATGGAAAAGGGGCGTAGAAGAAGGGAGGGGGGAAGGAAAAGGCGTAGATGAAGGGAAGGGGGAGAGAGGAGAGATGGGGAGGGGGTAAAAGAGGTGAAAGGAAGTAATTAATTTTTGGGAGTATATATAATGGGTATATGGTGGGTATTATAATGGGTACAAATAGCATTTTTGATATCGGATTCATTGAATCCGAATTTCTTGAATCCGAAAGAGGCAGCATTCTGCTTTGTGTCAGCCGCATGCATGTCAGATTCATCCATCCATACACATTTCGGATTTGTGTAATCCGAATATTTGGCCAGCAGCTCCATCCATCCACATTTCGGATTTGTGTAATCCGAATAGTTGGCCAGCAGCTCCATCCATCCACCCCACGAATCAGCTCTCTGATTGGCCAAAGGAATACCACGCGGATTGTGCTTTCCTCTTGTTATTTTCAACCCTTGGATCATATTAAATAAATCTCAACCCTCCATTTTTTTGTGCGGTGGTTCACTATCCAACCACAATTCTTACCTCTTTAAATCCCTCCAACATCATATTTAACACACTACAAAAAAACAAATTCAATTAGATAAAATTATTGAGTGTTGTTGCTGATTTGAATTCGTTGTGTCCTTCAAAGAGGTTAGAAATTTAATTATATTTTTATTCTTTTTGAGGTCGTTTGGTAACACTAAAAGTGGTTGTATTGGCTGATTCTGTTGAAATTTATAAAGTTCTGGCTGATGTGGCTGTATTGGCTTATTCTGCTGAAATTTATGAAGTTCTGGCTGATGTGGCTGTATTGGCTGATTATGCTGATTCATGAAAAAGTTATATTAAAAATATTTTTTATTAATTAAAAAAATAAAAAGTTATATGGAAAAAATAGCTAAAATGATCCTCTACAGTAACTTTAGCCAATACAGTCAGAAAAGTAACTTCAACCTTAGTTTTTCTGCTTATTACACAATTTAACACGTCAAATAAAAAATTACGTGTTTGGTGAAAAAGCCGGCTGATAGGCCGAAAAATGGGGTCACCAAACGGAGTATTTGTGATTACACGTGTACTGATTTTTTTATTTCAATCTCAGTATTTAGAAAAATTTAATAAAATAATTGGTTCACTAATATTTGTTATAATGTATTAAATAATAAATCAGTGTATATAGTAATTTGAGACTACGTTGCTATTACTAATTTAAATTTAGTTTAGTTAGTTGAACATTTTAATTTAGTCATCACAATTTATTCCCAAATAACACTGTAATATAATTTAGTTCATAATATTTATTATAATTGAGCCATAAAAGTCTAGAAGTAGTCCTTTTATAGTTTCTGGCAAATGGTATGACTAGAACTAGTTTTTTTCTAGTTTCTGTTATAGTGAAAATATTAATGAGTGGCAAGTCTAAATTTGCAATCAGTACATATATTATAATTGCACTATATTGGTACAATCTTCACAAGCTCGTCTAGAACTAGTCCTTTTCTAGCTTCTGGCAAATGTTACGTCTAGAACTAGTCCTTTTCTAGCTTCTGGCAAATGTTACGTCTAGAACTAGTCATTTTCTAGCTTCTGGCAAATGTTACGTCAAGAACTAGTTCTTTTCTAGTTTCTGACACAGTGAAAATATTACTCAATGGCAAGTCTAAAATTTGTATCGGTTCATATATATTATAATAGGACTAATAGAACTAGTCCTTTTCTAGTTTCTGGCATGGTGGTAATACTGTTCAGTGGATAAGCCCAATATCAACTATACATATATTATAATGTAATACTTAACACTGATATAGTTTCATTGAAAATTTATATATATGTAATTTATAATTTCATTTAATAAATTATACATACACACACACATATATATATAAACACTAATATGTGATTTTTGTTGTTAGTTGAGATACGAATGGCTGCACAAATACCACTTATGGACCCGGTTGATCGGTCTGTGCTGGTGATGCCACGTTACGCGCATCGCGCGGACCTTATCTGGAATGGTTCTACATCTTTGGATGAGAAGTTGAGATGTAATATATATTGTTCAATGGTGTACAAAGACGGCCCGCGTCACCCAGGAGTGGTAGCGTTGCTGAAGACCTCCGGATTTTATGGCGTCGAGGGCATTGGAAGGTTGCAGTTGGACTGGTCACTTATAACAGCGTTGGTTGAGAGATGGAGACCAGAGACACACGCCTTTCATTTGCCTTTTGGTGAGGTCGGCATCACCTTACAGGATGTAGAAGTGTTGTTGGGGTTGCCCGTCGATGGAGAACCATTGTCTGGACCTAGGACGAATTCGAAGGCACTTTGGATGCAAATGTGCACAAACTCTGCCGGGTTCACGCCAACCAACAAGTACTTAAACACATCTGTAATAAGAATGAATGCCCTACACCGTTGGCCGGTACATCAGCACAGCACAAATGAGGAACTCATCACACACACGAGGGTACTCATTTGGCAACTAGTAGGCGGGTTATTGTTCCCCTCCACAACTGGGAACAAAATAAAATTGTACTTTTTAGAGTTGTTGCAGGGACCGCTCGGTGATGCACGACGGTGGAGTTGGGGCTCAGCAGTGTTGGGATACTTATATCACAACATGTGCAAGGCCGCCAAAGCTGACAGAAAAAATATTGGGGGATGCTTGCTTCTATTACAAATTTGGGCATGGGAGAGATTGCCCATGGTGCGGCCGCGAAACGTTTTGCCATTTGAGAATCTACAGGATAAGCCATATGGATGCAGGTATAATTTCAAAATTTACATAATAAATATTAATATATCAAAAATATGTGTAGTTCACGGTATAATAACTTATTTTTATGAAGGTGGGCGTGTCGGCACAATTGGGAACAAAGTTCTCGGTATACCTTGCGTCTTTATCGAGATCAGTTGGACGGGATACAAGAGAACGAGGTTATAATTAACAATATCATTTTAGTTTAATAAAAAATTAATATATATATATATATAAATTAACTTCAAATAATATTGATCCAGTTCGTGTGGCTCCCATATGCATTACAAACCCTCCCCTGGTTCTGCGTCGAGGGAATACAAATGTGGACATCTAATGTCATGCTTATATTCTGTGACATTTCTGAGATGTACTACCCCGGTAGATTTTGTCGTCAATTCCGTGCAATGCAACATGTTCCTCCCGTGGCGGAATCTCAAGCTAGACACCATGCAAGTGGTGCAAAAAATTCTGGATGGCCATTGACACTATGGGAAGAAAGGCACACTGCTCGTCGTCGTACCGCAATGGAGTTCGTTGATGATCCCACCTACACTCCTGCGTACCGTGAATGGTACAAATATGTCGGGAAACGACGGAT